TCTTTGATATTTAAATCTCTTCTGTTTGCTCCTGTGTACTGTTTTATGATGGTGACAGTGGCAAAGGGGTTACTGTATAGATGAGAAATGTGTCTTTTACATAAACTGGGGGGGGTATTTTGTTTTGAAATGATACTTAAAGCTTCCAAATACCAAATCCCCAGCTTTGGCCAAGTGCTACCCAGCTATTCTCCTGAGATTCTCTCTGTTTTCCTCAAATGTGCCTACCCTAAGAGGTAGAGGGCTCATGCTCAAGGCCCTGGAGCCCCCAAAGTTTTGACAGAAGTAGAAGTGTTTCTGGTACTTGAAGAAGTAAATAAAGCAAATGAAATTGTCAGTGGTCAGGATACAGACCTGTGATTGCAGGCATTTAGAAGAACAGATGGAAGGGAGCTGCTGGCTCAGGCCTGTACTCCGCTTAGGGGTCCAGATATCTAAAGGGACATTTTTTGAGTTCTTAGGTACCCACCTCTTTCTCAGGTCTCAAAAGAATTTCCAATGGTATCCCACTTTCCCCATGTTCTCCCTGTTTGTCCTAGGAATCAGGACACACACACACACACAGAGATTACAAGAATAATGGAACATCAAATTGGGGCAGAGGATTCTGAATGGGACTATTTTTTGGGGGGGGGAAGGGGTTAGATTAAGGAAAAAGAAAGGATCTGGTAAAAAAAAAAAAGCCTACAGGAGAAGATGAGTTGAATCAGATCCCGGCTCTGTAATTTTTCTCCCTAGTAATGACCTGCGCAAAATTCAATATGACCAAGCCGAACTGCAGAGCATATTCTAGCAACTGCCTGCTTGTGGGGGAGGTTGGGAGAGGGGTGAACCGCAGGTCACAGCGTCTAAAAATTATTAAAATGTTCGAGAGCCTCGTGACACGCCCAGCTGTTTAACAAAGACTGCCAAAGTATGAGATTAATACGAAAACTTGAGCTTCAAAAACAAAAACACACTTAAAAAAAGAAAGAATGAAAGAAAGGAAAAAAGTCTTGTTCCGGCCTCCGAAGGGGGCCTTTGGCTCCTCCGGCCCCGCAGCCAAGGTTCGGTTTTCCGGACACACAATAGTGGACACGAGCGATCTCAGCTGTTTGTCCAGCGGGTCCGGGCGGGTCGGACACCGGGAGCGGTCCGGTGAGTACTCTAGCCCGCTCCTCTTCTGTGTCTTCTTCTTCTCAGAGCGGTTGCCGAGGCGCCGGCGGCTGACGACTGGCCTCGGCTTGGCCCTTGGGTTTCGCTACTTCCCTGCGCCCCGTTCTCCGCGCCAACAAAAGGTGGACACTTCCTCCCGGCCTGGGTACTCTGTGGATGGTGGAGAGGGGCTGGGTAGGCAGAGGTCCAGTTAGCAACCTGTGGCTGCCTCGAGCAGGCGGCCCGGAAGTCTCCAAATGACCCGGGAGCGCACGGGTGGTGGCACGGAACGAGCGCGACCGTCTTGTTTTTCTTGTTTTTTTTATTATTATGCATATTGCTGTTGGTATTCTTCTGGGTGTGGAAGGGGAGAAGGCTGCCACTTGCGTTGGTGAAATCCGTCCTGGTGATCCGCAGATAAACGCTGTCCTCCACCCCTGGCGGCTGCATTCGGCTACAGAGGGGATGGGCAGGTGGCGGCTCCCAGCGCGCAGAGGAGAAAATTTCTGTGGTCTCTGGACCCAGGATCAACCATCTCCAATTCTGTAGTGGCTCTGTCCCCTAAGTCTTCTCTCTTGGCGTGCTCTGGACACCTGGGCCGCATCCCTCGTGAAGTGTACAGCAGCGGAGAGGCCCAGCACCCGGCCCTGGGGCCCTCTCAAACTTCCGAAAAGCCGACGGGTTGGACGGGTTTCCGCGAGCGCAGGAGTTGAGGACAGGAGGTATGGGTTGGGGGAGGGGCCTGGCTGCTTGGAGTAGGTCCTGGAGCCCCTGGATTTTAGAAGGTTTAGAAAGATCCTTGATTCCATTGAGCTGGTGACAATCCTACCAACACATTTTGTGGCCCTCATGGCTGGACTTCAGTTTTCCTGGGTGCCCAGAGGAAGGTCTGAGATTAACCTATTGGACCTTCTGTGGACAAAGATTATAACTATAATGTAATTCGTTTCCCTCCAATTATGTGTGGTGCCCGCCTAGCTAGGAGAGCGTTGGTGTTAGAAACCAGGCCCAGAGGCCAACATTGGCAGGGCCTAGATTTGTGATTAAGAAATAACAGCAACAACATGACCAGAAGGTCTCTGCACCTAATTGCCTCAAGGTGGGAGCTCTTTCACTCACAAGACTGAATGGGCAAAGACTGCTGGAGTGTGGTGGTTAGAGGGTTGTTTTGGGTTGTTTCTGTACTTGTTAGTTTGCTTGAGAGTTTTCTGATTTGGTCAGTAAAGATACAAGTTATGTCTCATACCTGGAGAGATGTGGGGGGGGCGGTGGCATCTAGTTGGGAGGAGTCTTCCTTTGGGCACATTTTCTCTCACCTGGTCTCTATTCCTCACAGTCTAAGCCTCAGTTCCCTCCAGCCCAGTCCTCAGTTTCCTAGTTTAGTGAATCAATTCAGAAGTTACTGGGAGCCTCAGGAAGATGAGAAATTACAGATTGGTGTTTTGGCCTCACTGCTAGCCACCTAAGCAGGTGGCTGGGCACAGTCAATGTGAGTGTGTTTAGACAGAGAGGATCTTCAAGAAGCTGGAGAAGTAGGGAACTGGATCCTCCCCACACCTCTGGGTTACCGGTTCCCCTTCTCTGGCCCCCCAGAACATTTGGAAGGCTGGGAGAGAGCAGCTCATCATCTGGCAGCATCTTTTATGGTTCCTCATTGCCCTTCATTCGGAAATGAAATGCCTTTGATCTTTTTCTCAGGTTGTAAACGGAATTGCCCGTCATTAAATATCCAGGACCCCATCTGCTTGCTCTCCCAGCATTTTTCTTTACAGCTGTTTCTCTTTCTTTCTTTCTTTTTTCTTCTTTTTTTTTTAACCATTGAAAATTTCCAAAAGGACTTTTATTACACCCCCTTTTCACACCCGGCCGCCGTCCCTTCGCCCTTTGCTTTAGAGGTGCTTTGGAAAATATCTAGATATTCGTTTGATCACAAAATAAAGGCCAAGTGAAGTGTGTGAGGAGCACAGGAGGAGCCGATTAGAGTTTTGTTTTTTTCCTTAAAAAAAAAAATAGCACTAGGGGGAGGGGAGGGGTGGGAGAGCACCCAGAAAGGCCTGATTCTGACTTCACTCAGCCTCAGGATGACCCTTCCTCCTTTTGTGCTTAGCTAATGTTTACATCTCATAATTCATGCGAGGGGGGCCACGCGGTTTGAGTCCCTTTGCGGACTGGCTGCTTGTATTTCTAATAGAAGAGGAGAGCAGAAAACCTTGTGATCCCAAGAATGGACCCATATTGCCTTGTGTTGCTCCCAGAACTCAAAACTAGAACAAAACGAAATAAAATCAAACCACACCCCAAAGGAAGAATCCTCGGAAAGTAGGAGAACTGGAAAATTTCTGGGCAAAGAAGATCTGTCTGTCTTCTGTATATACCCTGTAGATCCGAATTTGTGTAAGGAATTTTGTGGTCACAAATTCGTATCTAGGGGAATATGTAGTTGACATAAACACTCCGCTCGTTGTTTTTTTTTTCCAGAAGAAAAAAATTCATTATTTTTCTAAATAAGGACAATCCAGTGACCGGCCTGGAGAAGACTCTTTCCTTTTTCTTTCATCCTTTTTCTTTTCCTTCCTCATATGGTTAGAGAGCAAGGAATCATCTACCTGAACTCCCCCTCATCTGCCCGGGGGGAGCCTTGCTCCTTTTATACTGACGAAGTTCATGTTGTTAATGGTGGTTTTAATTTAATCCTTTCACCCCAAGCCCAGCCATGTTCTATTCTGGGCTAGGAGAGGGATATATTGGAAATTCTGGGGAGTGTGTGTGTGGGGGGGGAGACTGTTGCCTACAGAATGTATACAAAGGCAAAGGAAATTCGCTTTCAAATGGATGCTGAGTTTGCCTTTCCGTTTGGATTTCGAACAAGATGCCTTGGAAATATGAAGTTACTGGGGGGTATTATTGGGGGGGCGAGCATTAGGATCGGGTCACCACTAGGGCTCTTCTCTCCAGCATCACAAGCATGCGAGATTTCTATTCGTCTAGGAGGTTGTGACATTAGTGGCTATTAGAAAGTCTCGGCGCCACGGTTAGTATTGCTCTGTTGGTTCTGGAATTAGCAAATTGCTCTTCAATTTGCTCTTAAAAGTTGCAGGGTGTTTGTTTGTTTGTTTTGTTTTTTTTAACTCCAGCGCTTTTCTTCAGGTTATGAAGAAATCATTTCTCTGAGGTTGGGCCATGTGGGGCAGAAAGGAGTACATAGAAGTGGACAGACAGACTGACGGATACTGCCTAGCTAATAGAGCAGCTAAATGCGATTTGGAAAGCGAGGTCTCCCCGAATTAGCGCATGAATTTCCTATCGATCCGCCTGAGGTTCCATTCATCTCTGACAAGTCCCTGCGCGCCCCCCACCCCGCCCTCTAGCTCCCCACGCCTCCTCTCTCACCCCCTTCCCCTCCCCATCTAGCTGCAAAGAAAAAGCCCCAAGCTTAGGGTCCCTCATCCTCAGTGGGCTCCCCTTTCGAAACGGACATTTCCCCCCCCCCATCCCAGCCCACCAGTCACTTAACTCCCCATATAGACCCAGGGTGCCTGGGCTTCCTCTGGCTCTGGGGAGAAGATGGAAGCTATCTGAGAGTCAAAGAAAGGCTGGGCAGAGGTGAGACAGAACGGGAGGGGGCCACATCGGGAGCCCCCAACTTCTGAAGGGGTCCGGGAATTGCGCTCAGCTCCATCGCCCCAATGGGCCTTCCAGTCGCAACCTGCTTGCCCTGGATCGCTCGGGCTCTGGTTCTCCATGGTGCGGGAGAGAACGAGGAGAGGAGGGGGTCGCCTCGCAGGAGCCCTATGTAAATCCTGGTGTGGGGTGGGGGGAAGAGAAAGGGGAAATAAACCTCTTTGGCTGGAGTAGAGTCCGGGTGAGCAGATTTCCTTATCCGGGAATCGCAGGCGGGGTGGCCATTGGCTCCGAGGATCACGTGGGCCCCTAACTTTGTTCACTTGACAGTAAGTAGGAGGGCTTTCGGAAACAGGAAAACGAGTCAGGGGGTCGGAATAAATTTTAGTATATTTTGTGGGCAATTCCCAGAAATTAATGGCTATGAGTTCTTTTTTGATCAACTCAAACTATGTCGACCCCAAGTTCCCTCCGTGCGAGGAATATTCACAGAGCGATTACCTACCCAGCGACCACTCGCCCGGGTACTACGCCGGCGGCCAGAGGCGAGAGAGCAGCTTCCAGCCGGAGGCGGGCTTCGGGCGGCGGGCGGCGTGCACCGTGCAGCGCTACGCGGCCTGCCGAGACCCCGGGCCCCC